TTGTTTGAAAAGGTTAGCTTTTTACTTCTTTGCAGATTTATGCCCTGTGGCTTCTATGCCCAGCACTTGTCTCGAGGTATCTTTACCACCTGGAGGAATTATGATACTCGGTAAATTCGATATGAGGCACGAATTCTATTTAAGGGTTGTAATTAGGAAGGAAGAAGAAAAGCTATAGAGGTAGCATATGGAAGAAAACATGGGAGGATTGATTATTTCTTTGACATATCTTCTTGTACCTTAAGCATGTATAGGTTTTAAACTACTAACTACCTTGCACACACATATTAACATAATAGGAATACGGTGACATAAACTAAGCAAATCTATAATTACCAGCCATCTCCAGTGAAACCAAGAAAACCAGTTTGTACTTAACTTTTACTATACTTCTACAGAAGTTAGTTCAATTTGACCTTTTAAATTTGTAATCCTTTCTATTCCAGCAAAGTTGTAGACTAGGTCATCATTAGGGTGGGAAATCAGTTCGGTGTGGCCAGGAAACTGCCTCTCCCCCTGCCTTTGTCACTACTCGCAGGTTCACCTGTGTTTTCTGATTCTCAGCTCAGAGGGGATAGTAGTATTATTGTATTTAAATTAATAACATCCTTCCCTCCCTCTCCTATTCCCATGGTTATTTGAGGAACAGCTGAGGAAACATATTTGCAACCTTTTGCAAACCAAAGGCCTCTCTACAAACATGAAGACTGTTGGGATGTTAGATTTTACATTTGTAACCTTTACTCTTTAAAAAAATTCCTTCTAGATTTCTCAGTTGAATACACTGATTGTACTTTTGCTGGGAGAACTTCTACCTGGAGACAGGCAGAAGATCATGACAATTTGTACCATAGATGTCCATGCCAGAGATGTGGTGGCAAAACTTATTTCTCAGAAGGCAAGTAGTTCATAGAAATTTTGTGTATTTTTGGTTGTTTCCTAAAAGTGTTTCTTATTGTCAAGGGTACTTCTAAGAAAGTCATTTTTTAAGTTTGTGTATTTTATGTAGCCCTAAGAAGTTGTACTTACTTTAGATGAGTTTAATTTGGGTTAGCTAACATACTATCCTCATGAGAGTGATACCCCAAGGGGTTTTGCCAAGTCAGGAACCTCTAATCTAGATCATCCAAATATTAACCCAGTATGGAAGAACCCACTGGAAGTCACCATGCTCATTCCCCTGTCTTCTGGCTTGTCCACACGTGATCGTCTTGATCCTGTGATTCTCACCTGTGACTGACCCAGCCAGTAGCTGTCATTTAAACCATCTCTGTGTGCCTTGATTATCTTGCTTTTCAAGAAAGAGAAATGTTGGTCATACCTTGTCTTTCCTTTCAAGAAAGACTCTCTTTAAATAAGTTATTTTCTAACCCTTTCACTGCATTCATGACCTTTTTTCCTTTCCATTTTAAAAAGTCTAGGTGTCTCTCAGATAGTGGTAGTGTTTCATGTGTAAGAATTTTCCCACCCTCTTTCCAAAATATATTCCTACTTACACATGTCGGAGGGGTGCCTGTCTCCTGAGAAGTATTGACACCTCATTTCCATGACCCATCTTCCTCCTAATCCCTTTGTTTTTCAGGGGTGCTGGGACAATCTGGTGGTGTGACAAGACAATTCCTTTCACATTTTGAATGCATATATGCATTGTGAAATGTTTCCTATTGTTTTTCTAATTCTTTCTAATTTATTAAAGCAAATTTTAATTCTCTCCACAAAGCACAAGCAAATGCTTCTTTGTGCAAGCCATAACTTTTAAAAGTATTTATTGATCCAGGTTCAGGACCATTAGTGAATAATGATGTTTAATTGCTAATCCAGAACTGATCCTTGCAAAACTTCATTTACCGTGTTTTCTTATTTTGATAATGAACTATTGATAACTACTCTTTAAATACAACCTTGCACCTCCTTACATATTTCATGTTTTATTGGTGGTGATTTCTTGCAGTAGGATAAATGATGATTTAAAACGTGTCCTTTATTTTGTGCTAAAATACCTTTAGACTTTTTCTAATCTCTGATCATCTAATATACATAAATATGCAATGTTGAGTCTTATGTAGACATCAGACAAGTTAGTAGGCAGCAATTTTGATAACTTCAAGTGATTCCCAAGAAATCCTAGGGTTACTTGTACCTTGAAAGAGAATAGAATTATTTTCTTCAAATTGGAAGAAGAATGGATAGGATTGAGCAAGATAGAAAAGAATAAAAATGAAAAAACATACTGTTATTTGATTTAATGAAAAATGGAGTGGGAAGTATCTGTAGTAAAAGCAGACTAGCTTTAGACTGGAGTTTTTGAAAGTGTAGTTTATGTATGCCTTTGAGGTGCAGAAATTATGGTTGTGTGCCTTTTTAATACAGAGTGTATTTTTCCATCCAGTTTCAGTGGTCTGAGTATAAAGTTACAAAAGCGATCAATTCCCCTGGGGTGATTCATAAAAGGGGAAAAAGCATTGTTTGAACAAATTTATGTTGTTTTCCAGTAAAAGCCTTCTTAAAATGAAGACTTTCATTACACACGTATTTCTGATTAAGTATTCAACCATCTATATGCAATTACAAGTTGCAGTAACATGCAAGAGATTTCCCTTTTGTGAGATTTTTGGAAATAAAATGTGAATCAATAGAGTTGATTAGGTTAATAGATTAAGTTTGTTGCCTCAAAACTATCATTGTCGTATGTATAATGGTCGTGATTATTTTAGGTTGTCAGTCCCCAAGCTTTTGCTTGGCTGTCTCAACTTCGTCACCAGTGGGAGGACACCCAGAAACACTGCTTCGTTAATATTTGTGATGCCCAGTTCCAGTACTTCTATGAATATTTAGGAAACAGTCCTCGACTAGTGATCACTCCTCTAACTGACAGGTAACAATGATAAGTCTGAGTGCCATGGGAAAAACCAAGCCAGTAAAGTCGCTGAGCAAGGGTACAGACATGTGAGCTCAAAAAGAAAGGAATGAGGGAGAATGGTGAACAAACTGGGAAACTACAAAAATGGTGTGTAGATGAACTAAGTGACATAGTGAACCTTGACTTCAGTTAGAGACAAGTTAAAGAGAACCAAATTAGAGAAGCAGAATTACAGACGTCATATAATATACAAATCATGAAGTCATAAGCAAATTAATATGGCTCAAGGCAGCAGCTTTGATCACAGTCCATTCCCTTTGTTATCTATGCCAGCATTCCAGCATCAAAGTAACAACCTTCCCTCCCCATATCCCTTTATTGGGTGTGTAAAAGGAATTGAGTATGTTTGAATGCACGTTGGAGGTCTTACATATAATGAAAGGAAGAAAAGAGGCAGAACAGATCCATTAAATGATTCAACAAATACTGATGAAGCATCGGTTTCAAACAGGCAGGGTTCCTGCTCTCACAAAGCACGCTTTCTAGTTGAATGTGATGTGTGTGTGGCTGGGAATGAATAGGAACAACAAACAAATTAACAAAGACATTTTAGGTGGTAATATATGCTATGACAAAAACTGGGTGGTATGTTAAAAAGTGTCTTGAAAGGAGAGTTTGCTCTAGATTGCGTGAGAGGACATTTGAGCTGAGACCTAAATGATAACAGCTACAAGTGTGAAGTTTCTGAGACGGGAGGGGCGTTGGCCAATTCAAGGGATTGACAAAGAACCAGTGTGACTCAAGTATGTCAAGAAGGCAAGTGGTTACTGTTATTAAAAGTTCATTGCCACTTGACTCCAGGTTAATATATACATACAGTCAGAATGTTGTAGAGGCAATGATATATTACAAAGGCATGAAATTCTTTGTTAAGTATTCCAACCTCTGCTGAATTACTAGGTGGGAGAAAGGATATTTAATCCTTGGCATTTATCAAAGAGTAATCACACCTCAAGATCATAAGAGTGTTCCCAGTTATCCAGTATCACCATACCAATTAATCTGGGAATCAAGTGTAGACAGTTTCAAATATGTCTCTAAAGCTGGGTTGAGGCGGTGGTCCTGGGAGATTGGTGGAATTCTCTCACTGGCTTGGTGATTGTTCTTGAACATATTAATCTGCTCATGATTTCATCATTGCTAAGTGGTATGGCTTCTGTAATTCTGTTTCTCTAATTGAGTTCTTTTTAACTTGTCTCTTACTGAAAGTCAGTGTTCACTATCTAAGTTAATTTATGTGCTGCTTTCAGTGTGAATGGTTAAGCTTTGTAGCTAGACAAAATCACTTGAGAGCAGTCAAAACTGCAGAACTGCTATGAGCCTGGTTTATGCATGCCACACTGTAAGTGGAGAGCAGAGAAAGGTAGGTACAAGGTATAGGAGAAAAAGGGAAGAATTATTTTAAAGTTTATCAGTATGTGACTACAAATAGCTTATAACTTTTTAAATAAGAATCACTATGTGGTTTATTTAGTGAATAGAGTGAATAGTGCTGCCTAAGGTGTTCATTGTATACATTTCTTTTCCATTTCATTCTTTGGATTACTTACTAATTGTTTACATTAGCACAATGCTGCCTTTGAAATACTTTCATTATGTCTCCCTTGATGCTGACCTCTTTTTTTGTGTGGTAGGCAGGACAGATAGTGTCTCCTTCTTCCCTGCGTGAACAAGTTCAGGGACTAGGTCACCAGCTTGTAACTGAGAGACTTGGGGTGAAACACAGTGGGAGTGGTTAGGAGGGTGCAGGCTAAGCTGCAGGTACAGAAAGACCAAAAATATAATGGCTTCAATAGCATAGAAGGTGATGTCTAACTTGTATAACAGTACAGAGGATAGTGGTCCAGCACTGTAGGCTGACAGGTGCTAAACATGGCCTTCCACATTTGTTCAGCCAATGGTAAAGGGGGAAACATCTCAATAGAGATGTCCTGGGATTTATACACATTGGTTAGAGTTTGGTCACCTGGCCACTCCTGGCCAGGAGGGAGGTAAGCTGTATAGTCTGTAGCATAAAGGTGGCCATTTTCAGCCAAAACATGGAACCACAAAAAGAACATTATTGGGGGATAGTCTACTCTATAAAAAGTGCTGTAATTCCTATTCCAGGGGTCTCTCCATATTCACTGTAAGGTGTATTTAAACATGTGGTGGCCATAAAATATAGAAACACTTTCTGTTTTTATAAGTGATTGCTTTGATGTGCATAGTACTTTGAATTTTTCAAGGCATTACCTTTGATTTTCTTAATATATGTCCCTATAATAAACCTCATTTTATTGAGGAGAAAATCAAGGCATGTTGATGTCAAAAGACTTATTAAGATCAACATCTTGATAATCAGTAGTAGACACTAGCCCACGGTCTTCAGAACTCTGTGTCTTTCCACTAGATCTGCTGTCTATACTAAGACAAAAATATTGTGTAAATCTGCAGAAACCCCATGTTAGGTCCTTGCATTAATTAGTTTTCCTTCTTGTAAAAATATCGAATTCTGTCTTCACATTTTTTCCTCAGTCTAAGAACCCCTGAATCTTTCCTGCAAACATAACTATTATCAAATCTAAATGCATATAGCAACACCTTCAAAATGAATTCCTAAAATATATTTTAATGTAATAAATTGTCTTTGTATATTTGCTTTATACATTGAAATAGGCATGTTATTTGCATACTCTGTACTTATGTATATTTACATAGTTTATCTCTCAGTGTATTCATTAAATAGCATTTAATGAAGTCAATGTTTAATTCATCCACAATTTCTATTTTTCTTCCTTAAACAATAGTTTGAGATGTTGTCTGCCATATTAATACTATCTTTACCTAGAAATATCAGAAATTCAGTAGCATTGTAAATCAAGTGTTATTTGTATTCAAATAGACAACTCTTAGGGAATGAGACAAATAAATAAAGCAACATATTCTTTTCTATTATTTTTAAACAGCAAACCTAAAATTCAATTTGATATAAAATATTATTCTCTTCTTATTGCCATGAACAAATCCAAGGTATATCAATGTTTTGTGTTACTACCACATCCTAGACCTTGACTTTTTAAACTTTAAAAGAATTGGACTGCCCCCAGTGTTGCCTAGAAATATCATACAAGACTATAATATTTGTGTTCTCTGTTGCCTAAAGGTGTTACATTACTTTAACTCAGTCACTTCATCTAACCATGAGTGGGGCTCCAGCAGGCCCAGCTGGCACAGGGAAAACAGAAACCACCAAAGATCTTGGACGTGCCCTTGGCATGATGGTTTATGTATTTAACTGTTCAGATCAAATGGACTACAAAGTAAGTTAGTTATAAAACAATATGGTCTAACAATATTATCCCTGATTTGGAATGATTCAAGCTCATTTACATATAATGAAAGGAAGAAAAGAGGCAGAACAGATCCATTAAATGATTCAACAAATACTGATGAAGCATCGGTTTCAAACAGGCAGGGTTCCTGCTCTCACAAAGCACGCTTTCTAGTTGAATGTGATGTGTGTGTGGCTGGGAATGAATAGGAACAACAAACAAATTAACAAAGACATTTTAGGTGGTAATATATGCTATGACAAAAACTGGGTGGTATGTTAAAAAGTGTCTTGAAAGGAGAGTTTGCTCTAGATTGCGTGAGAGGACATTTGAGCTGAGACCTAAATGATAACAGCTACAAGTGTGAAGTTTCTGAGACGGGAGGGGCGTTGGCCAATTCAAGGGATTGACAAAGAACCAGTGTGACTCAAGTATGTCAAGAAGGCAAGTGGTTACTGTTATTAAAAGTTCATTGCCACTTGACTCCAGGTTAATATATACATACAGTCAGAATGTTGTAGAGGCAATGATATATTACAAAGGCATGAAATTCTTTGTTAAGTATTCCAACCTCTGCTGAATTACTAGGTGGGAGAAAGGATATTTAATCCTTGGCATTTATCAAAGAGTAATCACACCTCAAGATCATAAGAGTGTTCCCAGTTATCCAGTATCACCATACCAATTAATCTGGGAATCAAGTGTAGACAGTTTCAAATATGTCTCTAAAGCTGGGTTGAGGCGGTGGTCCTGGGAGATTGGTGGAATTCTCTCACTGGCTTGGTGATTGTTCTTGAACATATTAATCTGCTCATGATTTCATCATTGCTAAGTGGTATGGCTTCTGTAATTCTGTTTCTCTAATTGAGTTCTTTTTAACTTGTCTCTTACTGAAAGTCAGTGTTCACTATCTAAGTTAATTTATGTGCTGCTTTCAGTGTGAATGGTTAAGCTTTGTAGCTAGACAAAATCACTTGAGAGCAGTCAAAACTGCAGAACTGCTATGAGCCTGGTTTATGCATGCCACACTGTAAGTGGAAAGCAGAGAAAGGTAGGTACAAGGTATAGGAGAAAAAGGGAAGAATTATTTTAAAGTTTATCAGTATGTGACTACAAATAGCTTATAACTTTTTAAATAAGAATCACTATGTGGTTTATTTAGTGAATAGAGTGAATAGTGCTGCCTAAGGTGTTCATTGTATACATTTCTTTTCCATTTCATTCTTTGGATTACTTACTAATTGTTTACATTAGCACAATGCTGCCTTTGAAATACTTTCATTATGTCTCCCTTGATGCTGACCTCTTTTTTTGTGTGGTAGGCAGGACAGATAGTGTCTCCTTCTTCCCTGCGTGAACAAGTTCAGGGACTAGGTCACCAGCTTGTAACTGAGAGACTTGGGGTGAAACACAGTGGGAGTGGTTAGGAGGGTGCAGGCTAAGCTGCAGGTACAGAAAGACCAAAAATATAATGGCTTCAATAGCATAGAAGGTGATGTCTAACTTGTATAACAGTACAGAGGATAGTGGTCCAGCACTGTAGGCTGACAGGTGCTAAACATGGCCTTCCACATTTGTTCAGCCAATGGTAAAGGGGGAAACATCTCAATAGAGATGTCCTGGGATTTATACACATTGGTTAGAGTTTGGTCACCTGGCCACTCCTGGCCAGGAGGGAGGTAAGCTGTATAGTCTGTAGCATAAAGGTGGCCATTTTCAGCCAAAACATGGAACCACAAAAAGAACATTATTGGGGGATAGTCTACTCTATAAAAAGTGCTGTAATTCCTATTCCAGGGGTCTCTCCATATTCACTGTAAGGTGTATTTAAACATGTGGTGGCCATAAAATATAGAAACACTTTCTGTTTTTATAAGTGATTGCTTTGATGTGCATAGTACTTTGAATTTTTCAAGGCATTACCTTTGATTTTCTTAATATATGTCCCTATAATAAACCTCATTTTATTGAGGAGAAAATCAAGGCATGTTGATGTCAAAAGACTTATTAAGATCAACATCTTGATAATCAGTAGTAGACACTAGCCCACGGTCTTCAGAACTCTGTGTCTTTCCACTAGATCTGCTGTCTATACTAAGACAAAAATATTGTGTAAATCTGCAGAAACCCCATGTTAGGTCCTTGCATTAATTAGTTTTCCTTCTTGTAAAAATATCGAATTCTGTCTTCACATTTTTTCCTCAGTCTAAGAACCCCTGAATCTTTCCTGCAAACATAACTATTATCAAATCTAAATGCATATAGCAACACCTTCAAAATGAATTCCTAAAATATATTTTAATGTAATAAATTGTCTTTGTATATTTGCTTTATACATTGAAATAGGCATGTTATTTGCATACTCTGTACTTATGTATATTTACATAGTTTATCTCTCAGTGTATTCATTAAATAGCATTTAATGAAGTCAATGTTTAATTCATCCACAATTTCTATTTTTCTTCCTTAAACAATAGTTTGAGATGTTGTCTGCCATATTAATACTATCTTTACCTAGAAATATCAGAAATTCAGTAGCATTGTAAATCAAGTGTTATTTGTATTCAAATATACAACTCTTAGGGAATGAGACAAATAAATAAAGCAACATATTCTTTTCTATTATTTTTAAACAGCAAACCTAAAATTCAGTTTGATATAAAATATTATTCTCTTCTTATTGCCATGAACAAATCCAAGGTATATCAATGTTTTGTGTTACTACCACATCCTAGACCTTGACTTTTTAAACTTTAAAAGAATTGGACTGCCCCCAGTGTTGCCTAGAAATATCATACAAGACTATAATATTTGTGTTCTCTGTTGCCTAAAGGTGTTACATTACTTTAACTCAGTCACTTCATCTAACCATGAGTGGGGCTCCAGCAGGCCCAGCTGGCACAGGGAAAACAGAAACCACCAAAGATCTTGGACGTGCCCTTGGCATGATGGTTTATGTATTTAACTGTTCAGATCAAATGGACTACAAAGTAAGTTAGTTATAAAACAATATGGTCTAACAATATTATCCCTGATTTGGAATGATTCAAGCTCAAAGCTTAAAACTCTTCTGTTGAATTTGTAATGCTTCCTTCCGTCATTTAGTCCATAGGAGACATCTATAAGGGATTGGTGCAGACAGGAGCTTGGGGCTGCTTTGATGAGTTCAATCGAATTTCTGTGGAAGTTCTGTCAGTGGTGGCAGTACAAGTGAAAATGATACATGATGCCATCAGGAACAGGAGGAGGAGGTGAGTGGCCTGTGGCTTCTTCCTAATGTTACAAAGAGGAAGAGCAGCATGGGGAACAATGTAGTAAAAGCACATCTTCACAGTCTTGCTGCTTCTCACTGCCTCATGGGATGGATACAATAAGACCGACTGGTTAATACTGAATAATTATTTTGAATAACCTCCCATTTTTATTAGTGGTTTTTAAGTGTTGAAAACAATAAAGGATTACTTAAATCACTTAAATAAACATCTTCTATGATGACAAATCTAGTTATCAATTCTCAGTCCTGACTTAACTTGATCTTTGGGCAGCATTTGACACAGCTGGTCCCTCCCTTCTATGTGACACACTTCACAGGGTCCCAAAGCACCACATCCTTCCAGTTTTCCTCTGCACTCAGGGCTGCTCCTGATTTCATCTCATCTGTTTTAATAGGAGAAAGTATGGTACCAACCTATAGGTGACCAGGATGACTAAATGTGAAGCACTTAGACAAGTGCCTCACATATACTAAGCCCCCCATCAATACTGGCTGTTTATTTTTATTGTTATTTCCTGATGTATTAACATTGGATATCACAAGCCTCAATCTTTGGGCCTCTTCTTTTCTCTGTCTTTACCCTTTCCCTTGGATGGAATTAAGTTAAGTTATGTGGCTCTCAATACCATCTGTATTCTGCTGGCTACCAGAGGCCCAGACGTCCTTCATCTGATGTCTGCACTTAGATGTGCCTGTTGGGGCATCTCAACACTCCGCTTATGTGTCATAGGCTCTCACGTGTCAGACCTCCAAGGTGTAAATTGTGGTTTTCCCACCAACACCTGTTTTATAAATTGTTCCAGTAGATTATACCTTCATATTCTTCCGGTTACTCAGGCCAAAAACTTTCCAAATATATCCAGATCCTAACTGCTCCCCAGCATTATGTCAGACTCTGAAAGATAAAACATGACTGACACTCAGGGTTGGATGGCTTACTTTCAGAACCAAGTATTACAGTACACAGTGTGGTTTTCTTTGCCACATTTTTTGTATACAGAGCAATCTGATTTATTTACCTATTTATACCTTCTACCCCATTTATTAGGGCATTTTGCTCAGCTAGCTCTCTTACCCATAGGAATGTTTCAGTCTCCCCATAGGAAAAGCTCATCTAGCCCCTTGAAACTATGAACCTATTGTAGAAGTTTCTAGTTACAGATACATCTGGATACTTCTACCTTCTAAAAAACCTCTTAATCCTCCCAACACAGAGCTCTAAGATACCCAGATGTCTGCACACTTACCTGCCCCTACTCTAATGCCATGTTAGAGAAGTTAGATTCTTTCCTTTTTGATCCCCAGACATATTTTATTTAGTTTTTGGTCAAAATATTTGATGTAACCCAGGTGTCATATGAGACCATCCTTTCTTAGAGATTTATATGACTGATACATTTAAGGATTTCTGAAAACTCTCAACCACATTTGCTGAGTCCCCTCATCTCCATGTCTGCATGTGAGTCGTACCTATCCATCCTCATGCTAGCCCATACCCAGATGGCTAGGCCCCTTCAGGAGTTTTATTCAATTTGCATTTGAGCAATAAGGGGTATGGGACCATGCTTCAACCAGAAATCCGCCTTGCTGGCTCTATCTCATTGAGGTCCATCCCTTTGACTTGTGGCTACTTCTGCTACACACGATGGAAGAACTGTTGGTTTCCCTGCTACAACAGGCACTTCTCTCTGTGAGTAACCTGTCTGCTTTCTCTACCCTAGCCTGATATTCTGGGAATGAAGATTTCTCCATTCCTACCTTGACTATACAGAATCCTTTCTCTTGATTAACTAGTACCTAAGATGCTCTTGGTCCTAAAAAATTGTGGCTCTTTTCCCTCCCTATTCTGTGATGTACACCCAGCTCCTTAAATACTTCAGGCTTCCCCTTTCTCAACAAAAGAAAGCCTCTACTCTATCTCATTTACCCCCATTTGAAAATTTTCTTCTATTTGTTCTTCCATTTGGCCTCTATGAGCCTGTTATCATTCTGTTGCTCTGGCCATCAGCAGCCTAACTGGGCCCTTGCAAACTTTCTGGAAATGTCTCACTGTTTCTTGAATGCCTTCAAGTGATAATCATAGCAATAGAGTGAACACCTGTCAAGTATTTACTTTTCTAGTATTACATGTTCTAGGCATTGTACTCCTAGCCTTTATGTACAATCTCTTTTAATCCTCATATAATCCAATAAGGTAGGTAATACTATTATCCCTTTCTTTTAATTAGATGAAGGAGTTGGGACATGCCTAAAGTGGCATAACTGGTCTCTGAATGCTCAGTCTGGCTCCAGAACCAGCTGTCATAACCACTACACTGTCCTACCTCTCAGTGGTGGTGAGCAGATATTTGTTGAATAAATGGAAGGAAGGGGGGCAGGTGAGCAAAGAGACAAAATAAAGCTTAAACAAGGAGTCGCTTTCTCCATCTGCAATATCCCATTCAAGGGATTGCAGCCCACATTGAAGGCAAAAATGGTAATCACCTTCCATTAACTGTTAAAGTAGTCAAGTCCTCATTCTTATATTTTAGCATACAAAATATGGCTATGCCAAAATGTAAAAGAATACTTCCCATACTTCTAATTCCTTTGGGGGAAGGGAGTTTACTTTTAATAAACATGCTTCAAAACATATGTATGCTTATGAATTTTAAAGCAAATTTAAAATTTTTCTCTTACCTCTTTTAAGTTAATTCCCCATACCATTGTTGTGCTTCCTGTGACTTAGGTTAAATTTGTCTTTCCTTGAGTTCATGCAAATGAAACCATACAGAATAAACAGCTCCCTAATAATAATTTGCATTTTGCTGTGGTTTGCATTTGTCAATGTGCATTCATAGTCAATGAACACATTTAATTTCATCAACATTCTTCTTATGGTAGATTTGTATTTCTTGGGGAAGCTATCACACTGAAACCATCAGTTGGAATATTTATTACCATGAACCCAGGATATGCTGGTCGAACTGAATTACCGGAAAATCTCAAGGCTCTCTTCAGGCAAGTGTTAATGCTTTGCAGTTTAACATCTGGAGCACTCATGCCACCTAACGTTGCTGGTTCATGCTGTTAAACGATTTGTTTTTAACTTGAGAATTCCCATGAAAAACTTCTCATTATTCAGGATCCCCTTATAAAGAGAACTTTCACCATGATAAATTAATTCTTCTGAAATATGAAACTAGGACTCAAAATCATTACTTGAAAGTTACACAGAGTATTTGAACATTTCATACTTGATCTTTTGTAATGATATTTTTATTATAAACATAATTTTCACAAATTATGGAACATTTGGGAAATACAGAAAATAATAAATAAAAAAATTACAGCTTTACCACCCAGAAATAAAGATGTTTTTTCTGGTCTCTTTTATAATTCATATTTTATGCAGTTAACATTAGGTTAGGCATAACTTTTATTTAGTTCTCATTTAATATTTTGACATACATAGTTAATCATATTATTGAAAATTCTTTGGAAATGTTGTTTTATGTAGCTCCAACCTAGTCTCTCCTATGGCTCATCTGTAATTTTCTTAACCATTCCCTATTTTTAACACATGGGGTTTGTGGTTTTCTTTTCAGTTTTTGATGATCATAAAATAGCAGGATGTAAACCCCTCTTCATATAAGTAGTTACCAGTATTTCAGATTATTATCCTATTTGAAGACATGCTTTCCAAAAATATACACTTGCTAGCAGTTGGTCAGAGATCCTGTGCTATTACTGCACCAGAACCAGTTATGTTTAACTCATATTTTGAATCAACCTTGTTCAGGTATAACTTCATACAAGAAAATGCACCCATTTAAGTGAATAGTTGGTGAAAACACTACCAAAACGAAGGTATCTCCAGCATCTCTGGAAATTCTCTTGTGCCTCTTTGAAGTTAATCCCCCATTATCATTGTTGTGCTTTCTGTAACAGGTTAAATTTGTCTTCCCTAGAGTTCAGTAAATTAAATCATGCCATATGAATTCACACGTGTTGTCTTCTTGAACATTATGACTTTGGGATTCATCCAAGTTGTTGAGGGTATCAGTAGTTCCTTCTTGTTACTGATTATTCTATTGCAGACATACTACAGTTTATTTTTCCATTTGCCAGTTGGTGGACTTTCAGGTTGTTTTCAGTTTGGGGCTATTATGAATAAAGCTCTATGAACATTCATGTACAATCTTTGTGTGCAGTTAAGTTTTCTTTGGGGTAAATATCTATAAATGGCATTGCTAAGTCACTTGGCAGATGTATGTTTGACTATTAGAATATGCCAGTCTGGTCTCCAAGATGTTTCTGCCATTTTACACCCTCACCATCAGTGTAGCAGAATTCCACTTGCTCTACATGCTTGTCAAAACTTGGTATTGTCCGTTTTTTTACGAAATTTTGCCCAATGTAATATATATGTAGTGGTATGTCATTGTGGGCTTAGCGTGCATCTCTATGATGGCCAATCATGTTGGATATCTTTTCATGTAATTTCTAGGCATTCCCATGTCCTCTTTTGTGAAGCACTGTATGCTGTGTACAATTGCTTTGTTAAATACATATACTGCAAATATTTTTCTCTCTTAATTTGTGGCTTGCCTTTTTATTTTAACGTGTCCATCAAAGAGAATTTTTTAATTTGATGAAATACAATTTGTTTTATTTATTTATTTTATATATCCTAATTAGGAAAACCTGACTAGCTCCAGGTTGCAAAAATGTTTTCTTCTAGAAGTTTTGTTTTATAGTTTTCATATAGGTTTTCCTTTTATCCTGTTCTTGTGCTGAACTATATATATTGATTGATTTTTCTAATGCTAAACAATTCTTCAGTGTTGCTTTCCTGGGATAAACTCCACTTGTTCAGGAGATATTTTTATATGTATTGGGGGATTCAATATGCTACTATTTTGTTAAAGATTTTTTTTTTAGTCTGTGCCATGAGGGGTATTGGTCTGCAGCATTTTTTCTTGCATTTCTGTCATCTGATTTTTGGCATCAGGGTAATGCTGACCTCATGAAATTTGTTGGCAAATGTTCCATTCCCTATTTACTTACCCCTTAAGTAGTTGATAGTAATCATTGAGGCCATTTGGGACTACATTTTTCTTTGTGGGTTTCTTTATGGTGATAAATGCAATTTCTTCAGTAAATATGGAGTTATTCAGATTTGTAAAATTTCTTCTTGAATTAGTTTTGATAATTCACATGTTTTAAGGAATTTCTCCATGTTTTCTAGATGGTTGACTTTATTGGCCTTACTTGTTTATAATATACCCTTATTATCTGTAGTGATATCTTAAAATCCATGTCTGATATGGGTAATTTGTGTCTTCTCTCCATTTTTTTCTTTGATGAGCTAGAGGCTTATCAGTTTTATTTTTTAAAAGCTCTTCAATATTCATAATATGTATCTTTATGCACAGTTTGTCTTCAAAATAATATATTATTCATATGATGTTAGAACCTCTATAGTTTCACATATAATGTAAGAACCTCTATCGTTTATAGTACAATCTATCAATTCTTTAAAGCTTAAAATTTGCTTGTCCATCTGAGTATTTAACCGTATTTCATTTGTATTCCCAATTTTTATAGTATTTTTTAATGTACTTCATCTATTCAGAAACTTTCTTGGCTAGGTAACATGGAATGAGTATTTGAACATAACTGTTTTCCCTAATAGTCAATTTTTCTAGCAACCTTTATTGAATATTTTCCTTTCCTCATATATCAGCTTTCTCTGGCATAGCAATTTCAGAATGTCTATTTTTCTTGAAAAAATTTCTAGAGAATAGCTATCCTAGAAGTAAATATAAGGATTATACAATATTTTCATTTGAAAATTGTGCATCTTTCCAGTATCTTTACATTTGTATCCTATTTCATCTCAACATGCTTTCATTAGGGTCTTAAAATTTGAAAATTTTTGTGACATTTTCATAAATTTGGTTTAACAAAGTAAAGCACCATTTATTTAAATGGGGGTGCTAAAAGTTTCAGGATACAAAATTGATACCCAGAAATCTGCAGCTTTCCTATACACTAACAATAAACTAATAGAAAGAGAAATCAGGAAGACAATTCCATTCACAATAGCATCAAAAAGAATAAAATACCTAGGAATAAACCTAACCAAAGAAGTGAAAGACCTATACCCTGAAAACTATAAGACACTCTTAAGAGAAATTAAAGAGGTCACTAACAAATGGAAACTCATCCCATGCTCCTGGCTAGGAAGAATTAATATCGTCAAAATGGTCATCCTGCCCAAAACAATATACAGATTCAATGCAATCCCTATCAAATTACCAACAGCATTCTTCAATGAACTGGAACAAATAGTTCAAAAATTCATATGGAAACACCAAAGACCCTGAATAGCTAAAGCAATCCTGAGAAGGAAGAATAAAGTGGGGGGGGATCTCACTCCCCAACTTCAAGCTCTACTACAAAGCCACAGTAATCAAGACAGTTTGGTGCTGGCACAAGAAGAGAGACTCCAAACATTAACCCAAACATACATGGTCAACTAATATTCAATAAAGGGGCCATGGACATACAATGGGGAAATGACAGTCTCTTCAACAGATGGTGCTGGCAAAACTGGACAGCTACATGTAAGAGAATGAAACTGAATCACTGTCTAACCCCATACACAAAAGTAAATTCGAAATGGATCAAAGACTTGAATGTAAGTCGTGAAACCATAAAACTCTTAGGAAAAAAACATAGGCAAAAATCTCTTAGACATAAACATGAGTGAGCTCTTCTTGAACTTATCTCCCCAGACAAGGAAAACAAACGCAAAAATGAACAAATGGGACTATATCAAGCTGAAAAGCTTCTGTACAGCAAAGGACACCATCAATAGAACAAAAAGGTATCCTACAGTATGGGAGAATATATTCATAAATGACAGATCCGATAAAGGCTTGACATCCAAAATATATAAAGAGCTCACACGCCTCAACAAACAAAAAGCAAATAATCCAATTAAAAAATGGGCAGAGGAGCTGAATAGACAGTTCTCTAAAGAAGAAATTCAGATGGCCAACAGACACGTGAAAAAATGCTCCACATCGCTTGTCATCAGAGAAATGCAAAGTAAAACCACAATGAGATATCATTTCACACCAGTAAGGATGGCTACCATCCAAAAGACAAACAACAACAAATGTTGGCGAGGTTGTAGAGAAAGGGGAACCCTCCTACACTGCTGGTGGGAATGTAAATTAGTTCAACCATTGTGGAAAGCAGTATGGAGGTTCCTCAAAATGCTCAAAATAGAAATACCATTTGACCCAGGAATTCCACTTCTAGAAATTTACCCTAAGAATGAGCACTCCAGTTTGAAAAAGACAGATGCACCCCTATGTTTATCGCAGCACTATTTATAATAGCCAAGATATGGAAGCAACCTAAATGTCCATCAGTGAATGAATGGATAAAGAAGATGTGGTACATATACACGATGGAATATTACTCAGCTATAAGAAAAAAACAGATTCTACCATTTGCAACAACATGGATGGAGCTAGAGGGTATTATGCTCAGTGAAATAAGCCAGGTGGCGAAAGACAAGTACCAAATGATTTCACTCATATGTGGAGTATAAGAACAAAAGAAAACTGAAGGAACAAAACAGCAGCAAAAGCACAGAACCCAAGAATGGGCTAACAGTTACCAAAGGGAAAGGGACTGGGGAGGATGGGTGGGAAGGGAGGGATAAGGGCGGGAAAAAAAAGGGGGCCTTATGATTAACATGTATAGTGTGTGTGGGGGGTGGCACAGGGAGGGCTGTGCAACACAGAGAAGACAAGTAGTGATTTTACAGCATCTTACTATGTTGATGGACAGTGACTGTGAATGGGTATGTGGGGGGGACTTGATGAAGGGGGGAGCCTAGTAAACATAATGTCCTTCATGTAATTGTAGATTAATGATACCAAAACAAATAAATAAATAAATAAATGGGGGTGCTAATACTTGTATCAGCGAAGTGTGAAAGACAATTTGGATGATGGAAGTCATATTCGTGAATGCCGGCAGAACGTATGAACCTCATGGTGTCATGCATGCTTCCACTGCCTACCTACCATGTGGCCCAGAGCAAGTGTTGTACTTCTCAGATCTTTAGTCTGCACCTCTGTGAAATGCAGATAGGAGGAAGAGCCATCTCCTATAATTGTGCAAATGAAGTAAGAGAATGCACAAAAAGCTTTTAGCATCCAGTATGGCATGAAGAAAGTACTCAGTAAATATTAATTCTCAATATTAAAGTAAGTACCAATTAATAAATTTGGTAGTCTTTTCTCTCTCCTCCTTACTCTTCATCTTTACAAGTTCTCTATATGATTGAATTAAAAATGTGGGAAAAGTGTGGAACCACTTTAGGTAGAAATATTCAATAACAGATTCAGAGAGACTTGGGAATGTTTAGGATGAAAAATCAGATGTGTGTGAAGTAGACTGTAATTATATTTACAAAAGTAGGTGGAAAATATTGGAATATACATTTTAAACAGTTTAACAGCTTTACTTACTCTGGTCCCTTCTTTGCATTTGACTTTAGTTGAGTGGAATTGTTTCAAGTGTTTCTTTTAATGGCAGTTGTCTTTGGGGAGGACTTTCTGGAAGTCTCCCTGCCAAAGAAAAGGGATTTAAAAGTTAAGTTTTGGTAAATTTTCATCTTAAAAATCTAACCAAGCTGGTTTCAGGCATGGTGTGCTAAGATGGCGTTTATGAAGTTGAAAGAGTTGTTGGTTAAATTTTCATTATTTTTGTTGGTTGTTTCAGCATGGTCACTAATAAAAAGGAAATTATATAAACTTATTAAATATATTTTTTTAAAAAGTGGTAAACACTAAAAACTCAGCACTTCCTTATTACTCCATTTTATTAATATTTATACTCTGGGGTTATTTCTGTTGTGTCTGTGTGGTGGTTTGCTATTGTGCATCATCTCTTCCCAACTTCATGTTTAGTGATGTTGTGTTGGTAGATTGAAATCAGCCATGGTAAAAGTATTTATTCCATGGAAGTAAGCAAAAGTTATTATTTGGAGAGCCATTTGTTAAACCTTTACCAGCACAGTACTGGCCAAAGGTAAAGGCTGGCCTTTGACACAAATCATCACTCCTCTTTCTGCAGTAACAGCTTACACTAGCAGTTTACCAGATACACCCACAAATGTCCCTTAAACTCTTACACCTGCCATTTTCAGACTTTCCATCTTATTCGATATATCCAGTGTAACTAATGGACATTTTTAGTTGAAGTAAAGGGTCTTGTTAGCTGTGATTGACAGAGGTAATTGTGACCTGCTTGGGAATGGTTAGAATGTTGGTACAAATTAATCATTCTATTTCAGCAATTTGTACTTATTACTTATCACATTTTAAAACTAAATTTCATATTTACTTTTTAGACCCTGTGCCATGGTGGCCCCTGACATTGAGCTAATCTGTGAAATCATGTTGGTAGCTGAAGGTTTTGTGGACGCACGCTCATTAGCCCGAAAGTTCATTACATTGTACACACTCTGCAGGGAGCTCCTCTCCAAGCAGGTGAGGAGCCTTTTATTTTTTTCTCAGTTTTTACATCCCACTAAACCAGTTTTGAAATATGGATGCTGGTTAATTTATCACACCAGTTACAGTTAGCTATTTAGGACTAATTTTATATTTTCCATATAATTTTGAAATTCTTAATTTTTTTCTGAAATTAAACTTGATGCAGTTTTATGTCTAATGGTTTAGTTATACTTAATGCAGTTCTTATCAACGGGCTATGTGATTTTCTTTAAACTTTACCAATGCTGTAATTACATATGGGATTTTATGATTCCTCTCTTGGTGACAATACTATTTTCTAGTGGGAGAGGGCAGGAATCTTCTTAAGAGTCAGGTGGAGTTGATTTTCTGAAGAACCCCTCAAAAAATATTAAATTAAAAATTTTTTCACTTGTTAAGCTTTTATTTGAAGGTAGCATTGGCATTTTTGTTTTTTGTTTTCACTTTTGCCCCACATTTTCTAGTCTCTGAAATGGGTCAAACCTACATATTTTTTTACTTTCCAGTCACTAGCATCTTGCTGATTCAGGGAAGTTGCTGATGTGCCTCAGACATTACATATGTATCAGCATCACTATTTTTTAATGACCTTTCATTAATTCCTGGTGACATTATTTTGCATCTGTTCCAGGATGTAAGTATTAAAATATCAGTTACAACCATATAGTTACCTGTCCTGTCAGATATAGTCACTTTAAATTACCCATATTGGGGGTGAAATTTGGAAACTGAGAGAGAAATTCATGTTGTCATTTCAATAACTATGTATTTACATTCTGGGGGGAAATCATAGCAAATGTAACAGTATGGAGAATGTTAATGACATTTTCATGGAAAATGGAAAGTGTTATTTGCTAAAAACAGCTTGCCCAACTGTAGATGTTATCTACAACTTGCATGTATTTTATATTTTTTTGCTATACTGTGTGTTTTATATACATATAAAGAAACTGAAAATACATTGTGGTTTATAACATTTGCCTCTGAGTAATAGAATTGTATTTTTTTTCTCCTTGTTCTTGTTGGTGATATCCTTTGTACTTTTTCAATGAGCCCATTTCAATTTTATAATGGGAAAAGGCTAGAAGAAAAAATGTTATTGAACCCAGGAAACACGAAGTTGCAACCATATGCATTCCTAGTGGTAATGTCTGAACATATAGTGAGCATTTACTGTATCTCAGTAATATGTTTATCACTGACAGCAGTGAAGAGAGGAAACACGGAACAAATAAAACAAACACTCAGGTGTCTGACTTCAGAGTACTTGAGAGATTCAGTTTACATGAAATAATAATTGGAAGAAAATGGAAGATGAAAAGATGACTACAGTGCCGAGGAAGAAAGGAACCAACGTTCCTGAGCATGTGCCATGTGTTATCTTTTAAAATCTTTACAAGAACTTCATGAGTTTGGTATCATTTGCTTCATCTTACAGATGAGGAAACTGAGTGAAGTAATCTGTCCAAAGTCAATAACTAACAAATGGTAGAAAGAAGATTTAAATTCAGTTCTTTTTAATCCTTTCTAAGACACTTATTTTCAGTTACCAAATTAAGATGTTCAGACTAAAGACAGAATAGCTAAGGAAAAGACTTCTTCAACTCAGAGAAACGGGCTGGATGAGATGAGTCAAAGAAATCTGCCCAGAACAGAAGATCTGTGTTAGGAACACAGTCCACTGATACTTTTCTTTGTTGTAGGGATGAATGGGAATCAGTAGACATTTTGGACTGAACGAATAGCATAATGCAAAAGGGGAAGACTATTTCAGCAGTTGTTTGCAATGTCCTGTTTAGGAGAGTTACCAAGTACTCTCAAATCTGTGTCCAGAATTTCTTCTATACCCTTTAGTATCAATTTAGCCCTCTCCTTGATCTCCCTGGCCTCCAAACTGTGGTTCTTCCCCCTCTCCTTGGCTCCTCAAGCTCTGGTCTATTTCTGCATTAGTGTCTTTCAAATAATTTTTACCATGACCCACATTAACAAATATGTTCTTCGTTGAGAATCAGCACAGATACATGAGCACGTGCTTGCATGCACACACACAAACACACACACAGGCACAACTGAAACAAAAGTTTTCACTGAACCCTTCTTATCCTTATTATTTGCAATGCATTCTGGTTTTTTTTTTATTCTATTCATTCTGTTCTATTACCAATAAAATGATGGTCAAGACCCATTAAGTTGATATTAGCCACTAGTGGACTGAAGGGCATATTTATACATGTATATATTGTTTCATTGTCCACAAACCATTAACTCATTTTTGTAATGGGAAAAGGCTAGAAGAAAAAAATGTTATTGAACCCAGGAAACACAGAGCTGCAACCATACACATTCCCAGTGGTAATTTCTGAACATGTAGTGAGCATTTACTATGTCTCAGTAATATGTTACTCCTGTAACAACCTTGTAAAATGGGTAGATACTTTTATCTACCTTTTTGTAATGATAATACTAAGGGTAGGTGACTTTTCCCCTGGTACGGTTGAGACATTTGAGACAAGGGTTGGTGCTATGTGAATTGTAGATGGAAGGCTAAGGAGAGAAGGCCAGTTATGTATAAACAGTTAATTCAGGGCACCTTTACTGAGCCTCTCCCCTTGCACTGCACTGTGCAGGGACCTAGAAGACACAAGTGGGTCGGTAATAGAGCTGAGAGCCTGTGAAAGGCATCTTCTGTAGGGATAATATGGAACTCTTAGATGTATTGGTTTATCATTGAATTTTAATAATACAGTTTTGATTATATTCAGTGCGAGCATCTGAGTGATTAAGAGGTAGAGCAATTAAAGCAGTTAGAGATCTGTCCTTGTACAGTTAGAGAAGTGTGCTTGTGGTTGGAGGTAAACACAGAAAGAACTTGAACTTCTGAGTTAGCAGGTTTATTGAGAGAGAAGATCAAGAGAGGCAGATGGAGCCCTGGGCAAACACTGCACCTAAATACTGTGAAAAGATGAGGTTTGCTGACAGAGGCAGAGAATCAGATGAGAGTAGCAGAAAGGCACTGAAGGGGCAGGGTTTGTACAGTTTCACAGAGGAGAAGAAACTATTACTTGACAGCATTAAACCATGTATTTTTCTGAACTCTTTTCTGTTTCAGCTTTTACTTCTGGAATGAGAATCTTATTCCCTCAAAATTTTTGAGAAAATATACCTGTGTTTTGATTTTAGGATCATTATGACTGGGGACTTCGTGCTATTAAATCTGTCTTGGTTGTGGCCGGCTCCCTGAAACGAGGAGATAAAAATAGACCTGAAGACCAGGTACTGCGGTGCTGATGTGACTTTGTTGACTGAGTGGGTGCACACAGCTTCATACAGCAAAAGCATAGACCTGGATGGAAGGCCATGCAGAGCACAACTTCTAAAAAATGTAACATCTATTTTTAATGTAGGATATTTTGAGCACTGGCATTTCTCATGTTATAAAAGAGAAGTATTATTGAGCATGAGGATATGAATATAGGAAAGAAAATGTGATTTTATCAGTGTTTCTGAAATATTAACCACAAAAAGTATTTTGGCTGACATAATCAAATAATTTAGTAATCGCTGTTTGATTTCCTCTGAGGCACATTTAGAAAATCTGATTGAGTTTGGATATTAATCTTGAAAAAGGCAGAGAAGATATAATCTAATGAAAGAAAGTCTGTCCATTTTGTGGGATGTAGGATGGGCATGAAGAATGAAAAGCTTAGTTGGTTATTCAGAGCTACTAGCTAAATGTTCTATCCTTCCTGGGGAGAAACAGCAGCCTTTTTCTCTAATTTTTTCTCAGCATTTTTCTCTATTAAATAAGTAGCAAGAGTGAGGATATATACCCCTATATGTGAAATCTGTATAGTTTGAGAAGATGAAAAAGTAGATCCATTCTTATGGGTTTCTTTCTATGTTGAAGGATATTTATTATATGATTTTCTGTTTTTCCAATAGTTTTTTCTCTTCTCAGACACAGTTCCTGACTGGGTTGGGATTTTCTTGCATATATTTGTTCTCCTGTTATACTGTTGTTATTGTTGGAACACTTACCTATTTCTGCAAAAGTCATCCTAATGTTCAAGTCACTGCTTTTGAAATCTAAAACCTTTGGTTTTCAGCCATTAGAGGGAAAAAAAACCAAACTAAAAATAGTTAAGTGTGTCATTCTGAGATTCTCAGGTTAACAAAATGATCTGATGGGCCAGGTTACTTTATATCCTGGGGTTTGAGGGTTAAGGAGAGAAGGACCTCAGACCCTTTCTCAAGATCCAAAACAGATCATGGGCGGAGAAGGAGCAGGGCCCCCTTTGCTAACTTGAGTCTGAGGTTTGTCCATGGTACCAGCAGAGCCTTCTCATGTTCTGAGATGTGACCTTGTAAGCATTTGACTTCCCTGTAGTTAGAATGCCATCCAAATGGAGACCAGTACCAATATCTTCTGCTTTAGATGTGAGGATTAAAAATGCCATCTTTCTTCATGTAATTTACAGCTTCTCAGCTGCTTTCTGCTTTGTTCATCTGCACTGAAAAGAAAGCAAAATACAAATTTCACAGTGGAAAATAACCATCTTTAGCTGTGTAGGGTTTGTTATACCTTTATAGGCTTTTTTATAAAGTGTTTTCTGTTCTCCTTCCTAGGTCCTCATGAGAGCATTAAGGGACTTCAATATGCCTAAAATAGTGACTGATGACATCTCTGTGTTTCTGGGCCTGGTCAGTGACCTGTTTCCAGCCCTGGATGTGCCCCGGAGGAGGACACCATACTTTGAAGAGATGGTCAGGCAGTCCACCCTGGAGCTCCGCCTGCAGCCCGAGGAGAGCTTCATCCTCAAAGTAAAAGGAGCATTTGCTTTCCATGGCAGCCCTCGGGTGCACAGTGAAAATAACTGTATTTAAGTGATCCTGAACCAAAACATCAATTTATGTTTATGTCGATCTTTCTACCATCTTAGGATATACTTTAAGCATTCTAATATGACAGTTTTTAGTAAAGGAAATATAAATCATTATTTTGTAGTCCCATGCTTCACAAAGGCAAAAACACAGATATGGTAAAATCGAATCATACTTTTCATTCATTTCCTTGTTTCTTGGTGACAAGCATCAAAAATTAAGTTTGCTCTCCCTTCTCTCCATTTTGGAGAAAATTGGAAGTAAAACCATTCATCATGTTTTTAATGGGGGAGCTGGCATGTGTACATATATGGTGTCATCACCAAAGACTTGTGCCAGTGCCTGCTCAATGTGGGAGTAGTGAACACTTGGACAGTCAAAGCACAGGGTGTCTGTGTTAGATATTTTAAAGATATAAGACACTACTGAGTTGTAGATCTTGGTCATATTCTGTTTTTGTTCAACACTTCATGAAGACTCACTGACTTTGCGACTACTTCCTACCATGTACAAGTACTACTGCACTTCTGCCTGCATCAGGAACTCACCAAGTCCTGGTTTTTTGTTTTAATTCTTGCCCCCGTGCTCTAGGTTGGAAGATGGAGGAGAAACTGTGCTTTACACTTGTCATTGATCTTAACTTTCCTGGACCATCAAGTTGGCAGTGGGGTCTGGCTTAGGTTGTAGGGAAAGAATTGGACAAAAATGGGTAGTTTGTTTGTTTTTTGATCACCAACTCGTTAAAGGAAACCTGTGACGCTTGTTCTGTCTGCAGGTTGTCCAGCTTGAGGAGCTGGTGGCTGTGCGGCACTCCGTCTTTGTGGTCGGAAGTGCAGGCACCGGGAAGAGTAAGGTACAGTAAACTGCCTGTTAGCTTTCAGCCACGGAGGGAACACTTTGTTTTGGGGGGTGAGTGGGGTGCCTATCTTCATTTCTATTTAAGAGTTCCTTTCAGTGAAGTCCTCCATAATTTCAAGTTAGAATCTGAGACTCTAATACTGCTTTTCATCAAGTGACACTATTTTGCTTTATGTTAGGGGCAGGGAGAGAGTAACCAATAGACCATCATATTCCAGCAGGAGTAAGCTGAGGAGACACTGGGTTTTCCACATTTATCAAAACTACTTTCTTATACTTCTCCAAGGTGCCCTAGATTCTCCTCCCCTTATCACTAGGAAAAATTCCAAATATTGTTCTCCAATACTTCTTCATAAATATAGCCCTTCTTAGGGCCAAAAAAAACCTGGAAAGAAAGGAAGCAACAAAAGCCACATTTTTGAGGTCCCCATTATGTGCTGTGCTAAGGGCATTATGTGTGATTTGCGGTGCACAGTGATGATATTCTATGGGTATTATTAACCCCATTTTTATTTCAGTGCTTGATTTTGTTTGGTCTTACTGACAGTCCTGGAAACATACTGATGTTCTTGGTTGACAGACACTATATGCAGAACTACATATATTTTAATTCAGGGTTCTAGGGTATAAACATATTTGGTAGCCAAAGTCTAAAAATAATCAGAGTGGGCATATGAGACTTCAGAGCATGGCTATGTATAGAACTTGCTAGTATATTTAGAGCAGAACCTATGGTAGAAAAATTGTACAAGGAGGCTCTGTAAAGGGATTTTTCCAGTGAAAAATGTAATAATTGAAATATTGAAGTAGATAACTGATAGACTTGTAATTATTTTGTTACAGTACGTTTCAGATGTGGGCCATGGTTCAAGGAAGGATAAAGTTAAATTCTATAACTTCCAGTAGATTAATGGTTTCTAAAAAATATAAGCCTAATATTCCAAAGGCATTCAATTTCTTTCATCTAGTCTTCACTGATTTTGTTTTATTCGCACCAAAGCTCAGGACCATGTTACTTAGTAACTTATTATCCCAAAGTATTTGGCAATTATTTATAATTCCTTCAAACCTTTTGGGTAGATGAGGGTGATAAATATCTACAACAAAACAAATGGCTTTTCAGAAAAAGCAAAAAAAAAAAAGTTGGGGCAGATATGTGGGTTAAAGTGTCAATTAATTAAGCAGACAGACGTTAAGCACCTGCCTGTGAATTCTTATTATCAAGGCTGCTTTCCTCAATTACTTGGATCGGGGTTTGGCAGCCTTGAGTGCTGTTGACATTCTGGATTGGACGATTCTCTCTGTTGCAGGGCTGCACTGTGCATTGTAGGAGGTGTAACAGCACCCCTAGTCTCTGCCCACTAGATGCCCAGTAGGGTGCTCTCATCCAAGTCCAGACAATCTCCTGTTGAGAACTATTGCTCTCAGGCACTAGATCTTAAAGTGCCTACAGACCAGTCTCATGGCATCACCTGGGTCCTTACTACAAATGCAAATTATCTGTCCCACCCTAGACATACTGAATTAAAAAGCTCCAGATTGCACCTAGCAATCTGTGTTTTAACACCCTCTAAGCAATTCTGATGTGGGCTACATTTTTAGAACAATCTAAATAATGCAGGCAGAGTGGATTTTAATAATACTTTGCAAACATAGTTAAAAATCTCCTATGATAGAGTGATTTCTGTAGTCTACATTGTTTACAGAATTAGGCAAACTGATCCTAAAGGATTGTAAGATTAAACTTTTCAAAATGGTAATGAAAATGTACACATATACATTTTTTCCCTCTTCAATCTTAATACACACAGGATATCTGGAAACATATAATGAATAAGGACAGTCCACAGAAATCTTTTGTTTCCATTTGCCTTGCATTAGTATTAATTTTCTCAGCTTTTTTCCTTTTTCCCTTCAGATTTTGAGAACACTGAACCGAACATATGTCAACATGAAACAAAAACCTATTTGGAATGACTTAAACCCTAAAGCAGTGACAACAGATGAACTCTTTGGATTCATACATCATGCTACCCGGGAATGGAAAGATGGCAAGTAGTATTTTCCCTTTTAAAGTGCTAAAAATTTCTCTTTTTTTTAATCCAGAAAACCATTTCCCAGTTGAAGCCAATTTTAGTCATAGTCTTAGATTTACTGTTTACGTGTTGGCATTATTGGAAATATAGCAGCTCACAAGAGCCTTTATAACCTATAAATTAAAACTAGATTTGAATAAGTGGTCAATTTGCATTCAGCACATTCATGCTCAGAGCTATGTATTTTATCCCACGTCAATTATGTCAGGGCTCCCTGCAAACCATGAAAGGAGTCAACATGAAGGCTTCGGGCAACATTATAAAGTACTTGCTACGAGACACTGAGTTTCAGGCATGCTTTATTCTAGGTGCAGGGAACAAAAGCCAGGGGGGATTTTCTTGCCCTGGAATTATTTATAGACCAGCAGATCATTTTGTCAATATCTGTCTTTACTTCCCATTTTAGTAAACACACCAGCCTTGGCATCACACTTGAGTCCTTTCTGCCTTTCACACCCTACAGTTGACTTCATAGCAAATCCTGTGGGCTTTACCTTTAAAATAGATATCATATTCTAGGAATTCTTGCCCTCCTGGTGGCTGCCACCTTAGTCCAAGCCACCATCACCTCTTGCCTGTATGACTGCACTAGTCCCCTCACTGTTCTTGCAACCCATATAGCAGACATAGGGCATTCTTCCAAATGTTAGTTCTCTGCTTATGATTTCCAGTAGGTTGCATCACCCTTAGAACCTGTGTCACAAAGGCACTGGGTGATTAGATCCCCTTCCTCATCTTGGACCTCATGTCCTGCTCTGCCCTTCACTTGCTATAATCCATACACTCTGGCCTCTGGGCTCTTCCTTGAATATGCCAAGCATCCTCCTATCACAGGCCTTTGCACATGATGTCCCCACCATGTGCAGCACTGCAGCATGGTTTGCTCCTTTGTTATTGAAGTATCTGGTCAAACATCACCTCAGAGAAGACTTCCCTGGTAATCCTGTTTGCAGGAGCACACCTTGTCATCCATCCTTTTATCATGTAGTTACTATTTCCTTAATTTGTGGAACAATCAAAATTTACTCTGTTACCTTTCTTTTTTTTTTTTCAAAGGACTGTGGCAGGAAGAGAATAATTTTACTTTATGCTGAAAATCTGTGCAAGCCATTCAGTTCAGTGACCATTAGGAAAGGTTGCTGGCTGGCCTTTTTGTGAAACATAATGGCAGGTTCTACAACATACTGTCACTTTATTTTGCACAAAATAATCCACAGAGGAACCAAAACTTTCCACATACATAGTTTCTTCCCATGCTATCTACTTGAGTTTTGAAGGATCAGCAGCTATTAGATGTGCCATGTAACACACACAATACTTAGATATGTAGTAATCACAAAAAGGACTACAGATTTAAAATATTTTTATCCATACATCTTGTGAAGTAATGATAATATAATGCCAATGACCAAACTTCTCAAAGAAGAGTATAGCTCTTCTGTATGTATTAGCTTTAGAATCCTGCCCTTTGAATATTGTTATAGAAAAATAGAGAAAGGTGAAATAAACTACTGTTTGGCCTGACATAGAAACTGAATGTATGTAATGAAAAAGAATAACATTTTCATTTAGTCTAATTGTTGAGTTTCATGTACATAACCTTCAAAAAATTCCCACAACTATTCTTCAAGGACGGTATTGTCATTTTTTGACATGAGGAATCTCAGCCAGGGATATTTAGGAACCTACTCACAGAAGTGGTATTTGCTGATTGGTCTGGAGCCCAGGTATTGCTTTAAAGATGTTATGCATTACCCACCAGGAAGAGGCAGCAATTTACAGAAAATTTATTTACTTAATAAAATAACTTCCAGTAGAAGTAATACAAATTTGTTTTAGAAATAAACAGCACTCAACTCCATTATTGGGATTGTTTACTCTTAATTTATAGGTCTCTTCTCATCTATTCTGCGAGAACAAGCAAATCTTATGCACGATGGACCAAAATGGATAGTCCTGGATGGGGATATTGATCCCATGTGGATTGAATCACTAAATACTGTCATGGATGATAACAAGGTGAGTAATGCCTCCATGCTCAATCTTAAACATAACACTTGGAGATTACGGAGTTCCATTCACTTGTAGGTTTTAATAATAGCTTTTAATCATTAAGCTGATGTTTTTCATGTAATTACTACTTTGATAGGTGGCATTTTCCTCATTCTTCTAATTCTCTTAATTTCATTGTTACAGAATTTAAGAGAATACATTTTTCTTGTCTGTATAAATTTGACCCTTAAAGAGAGAGTTATGTATCCAAGAATTTAGTTCAAACACATCTTACTGTTAGAACTAAGCATAACTTAGTACATCATATTTTATCTTTGATTAAGAATGGAATACTTGGATAATAAAAGGATGAGTTTTTTCCCTATGCTAATTGGTAAAATTTAGCTTTTGAAATTAAGTAGTTCTTATAGCTATAGTATAAATGCATTCCTAAGCATTTGGCTATGGTTAATCCAGTATTCCCAGCAAATACAAAAGGTGATGGTACAGATCTGTAAGATGCCAGTTAAGCGACACCAGGTCTATTGTTAGGATCAGGAGAAAGAAATCAGTAATCATCATTGCTGCAAAGTAGAATTTGTAACCCCCTTTAACAGTAATTAGTGCTTTCTGAGCTAAGACATTTGCTCATCACAAAATACAGGTCTGACATCTTTATACTTGGATGAGTTTCTATAGGACAATTGATAATTGTGGCATTTCAGATTCTAAAGAAAGTTTTTTATGGTATTTAGGCCTTTTCATGTAATCAACCCTTAGGACAAATATCTTATATTTAGTACTAATTACCACAACTATTCAAAGGTTGGTGTGAATGAGTCCATGCTGGTGAGTGTGGTCAAGGGGCAGTGAGGTGAGGGTCACTCATGAGCTGCGATCTTTGTCCAGACCTCACTTCTAGCTCTGGACAGTGAGCTTTGGCGTTTCTGTGGGGGACGGGCTGCGTGCTGTTCGGGTAATTCAGCGCATTGCTGTGGCTCCCCGGTGACACGGCCTCTCTTCTGCTGTGCTGCTCTGCCCAGGTGCTGACCTTGGCCAGCAACGAGCGCATAGCCCTCACTCCCTCAATGCGGCTGCTCTTCGAAACTCATCACTTAAGGACAGCAACCCCGGCTACTGTTTCTAGAGCTGGTATTCTATATGTGAACCCCCAAGATTTGGGCTGGAATCCGTGAGTATTCTTTTTTAAAATAAATTATAAAAACATACAATACAAAATTCACTATTTTAACCATTTTTATAAGTGTAGTTCAGTGACATTAAGTGCATTCACATGCACTTGTGATGTGCATGTGATGGCTGTGCAGCCGTCACCAACACCTATCGTCATAACCTTTCTCATCTTCCCAAACTGAAGCCCCATACCCATTGAGCGATAACTTCCCAGGACTCCCGGCCTCCAGTGCTTTTCTGTTCTCTCTCTCTCTCTGAACTCACATGCTCTAGGTATCGCTTATAAATGTAATTACATAGTAATTGTTCTTTTGTGAGTGGATTATTTCACTTAGCTAAATAATGTTTCAGAATCTGTCCATGTAATAGTGTGTGGCAGAATTTCTTTTCTTTTTAAGACAGAAGGATTTTCCATTGTTGTATATACCACATTTTGTTTATTCACCCATCACTAGACACTTAGGCAGCTTATACCTTTTGGCTATTGCCGATAAGGCTTCTGTGAACTTAGGTATACAAATATCTCTTTGAGTCCCTGCTTTCAATTGTTTTACATATATACCCATGAGTGGGACTGCTCAATTATATGGTAGTTCTATTTTTTATTTTAGAGGAACCTCTGTACTGTTTCCCACAGTGGCTGTACCATTTTTATACTTCCACCAACAGTGCACAAAGGTTCCAATTTTTGCACATCCTCACCAACACCTGTTACTTTCTGTTTGTTTGTTTTTATAATAGCCCTCCTAATGGGTAGCCCTCATTCTGGTTGTGATATACCTTTTCCCTAATGATTTGTCATGTTGAGCATCTTTTCATGTGCTTATTGGCCATTTGTGTAATTTCTTGGGAGAAATACCTATTTTATCCTTTGCCTATTTTTCTAGTTGTTTGGTTTTGTTTTTGTTGTTGTAGATATTTTTTTTTAATCTTAGTTTAAAAAAACAAAAACTAAAAATGTGTATGAGCATTTGAAGAAAGCATTAGCAATTACATGCAAAGCTAATTAATTAGCCCAGTTTGAAGATAATTAGCAGTATATGCCTTTGTCTTCTTTAGTTGGACATTACCGTGTTCATACCTTATAAGTTCAAAGAGCTAAGAATTTAACATTTGTTGAATAAGTGGATAAATAATAGCTCATATTAGAGCACTTAGATAAAAATATATCAGTGTATATGTGTGTTTCTCTGTATATGTGCAATGTGCATACATGAACAGTGGTAATGCTTTGATTCAGAACACACTGATTGTGCCCTCTTGCCTACTCTTCACATGCTTACACTTTGCATAGTTCATCCGGGTGGTCACTTGTCCCCTCCCGTAGCATTTCCTTTGTGAGCTGAAGGACAGTGTGAGCTCTGTAAGGGAACAGGGGCTTGTGCCTGGTACACTTCTTGTGTCAGATAACTTCAGTTGACCCCTCCACCCGGCTCTGTGCCTCAGAGCCTGTCCTGTATGGACCACATCAATGGGCTTCTTGCCCTCTGGCTTCTGGTTGGTTTGGCCCATGGGAAGCCCTGGAAGGAAATGAGGGAGCGAGGAGTGAGATCAGGCTCTTTATGGCTGGCTCCCTCCCAGTGGTGTTCCATCGAGACGACTGTGTCCCTCAACTGCAGGTCACAGCTCCTCTTAAATCTCTCTATAAGATTCTTTCCTCTCAGGCCCTGGCAGTGCTTCACCCTCCTGTCCCTATGGGCATAGGTGCAGTAACCCTTGCAGTGATTATTCGCAGCTTGGCACTCTCCCTTCTGGTTCCCCTGCTCCTTGCCCACACTTTCATCAGTGGCACTCTCATCGACCTTCCCCATTATCCTGATTTGAGGGTGACCTCTGTTCCCTGCCAGACACCTGACTGAGGCACTTCTCCAGGCTGCTTTTTCTATATACTGATTTGTTCACTGCAAGTCTCATCCTAAGCCTGCAGCAGAGCAGAGCCAGGAACAGGCTTTGGTGTTTAATGAAGCATTATGGGATTTGGCTGGGGAAAGGAGTGATTTTTTTAAGTCTAGAATGGAGAGTTCTTGGCTGATAACTCCTTTCCCTAACTAGGATTTTATCTCCTAGGATGCCTCTATTGGCAGGCGGTTGGCTGAAGAGGAATCCCCAGGCTCCCTCAGTGCTACCATACAGGCAGCAGAGGCAGTGCTCGTACCCCATTTGCTTCAGGGGTCCTCTCATCCCCACTGGGTGTGGTCTGATTTTAACAGCAAGCCTCACAGTTCCCAAAGTCTGTGTAATTCATTCTCAACAACACTATGAGGAGATTTGTACTAACAAAAGCTCTCTAAATCCCGATTTAAAAAAGGATTTTTATCTGGTAAATCAAAGGCTGGCAAAAGAGACACCCAATTTGCATTCCTAAGAAAGTCAAACAATTCCATCTTCTTCATTAGCCTTTATTTTAATAGAGGTTTTTGTTTTATATAAACTCAATGGATAAGGAAGTGGTATGTATATACAATGGGATATTTTTCAGCACATGGAATATTTTTCACCTGTAAAAAAAGAAAGAAATGTTGCCATTTGCAACAACATGGATGGATATGCTAAGTGAAATAAGCCAGGCAAAGAAAGACAAATACCATATGATTTCACTTATTGTGGAATCTCAAAACAAAACAAAACAAACAAAACAGCAATAGACTCATAGACACTGAGTGACTCAAGGTGATTGGTGGTTACCACAGGGCAGGGGTTGGGGTAGATGGGTGAAATAGGTGAAGGAGATAAAGAGGCACAAAATCTCAATCATAATATAAATTAGTCATAGGGATGAAATTGCAGCATAGAGAATATAGTCAATAATTCTGTAACAGATAGTAACTATACTAGTTGGAGAGTGCATGTAATGTCAGTAACTCAAATCACTATATTGTATACTTGAAACCAACGTAGTATTGTATATCAATTATATTCAATAAAAAATTAAAAATCAATGAATCAGTTTTAATTTTCATGTGTGTAACCAAAAGATCCAACTAGGTCATTATCCAAAATAATGAGAAACTTCATTTTTTTCTTTTTTACTTCAGTAAGCATCTTTATTAAATAAGAACTTAAAAAAAACCCACACCATTATCATACCTAGCAAAGTAAATAATAATTCCTCAATATTTAATTCCTAGCCCATATTAAAATTTTCCCAGTTGCTTCAATGATGTTATTTTACCATTGATTGCTTGACTCAGCATCAAAAACAAGTCTATATGTTATATTTGGCTGTTGTATCTGCTTGCACTGTCATAACAAAATATCATAGACTGGGTGGTTCAAACAGTAGGAATTTATTTTCTCACAATTCTGGATCCTGGAAGTTCAAGATCAAGATCAAGGGGCGAGCAGGGTTAGTGTCTGGTGAAAGCTTTCCCCTTATGATTGCAGATGGGGCTACCACTCACTGGCTGTGTCCTCACATGGAAGAGAGAGAAAGAGAGCTCTGATGTCTCTTCCTCTTCTTTTATTATTATTATTATTATTTTTATTATCAAATGTACATCACATTGGTTCAACAGTCCCCCTCCCCTGCCGCCTGCTCCAGCCCACTCGCCTCCCCTTTGGTAACCATTAGTCATTTCTGATTGTCTGTGAATATAATGCTATTTTGTTCCTTCTGTTTTGCTTTGTTTTTATCTTCCACTAATAAGTGAAATCATATGGTATTTGTCTTCCTTCACCTAGCTTATTTCACTGAGCATAATACCCTCTAGATCCGTCCATGTTGTTGCAAATAGCAGGATTTCTCTTATTTTTATGGCAGAATAATATTCCATTGTGTATATGTACCACATCTTCTTTATCCAGGCATCCATTGATGGACACTTAGGTTACTTCCATATCTTGGCTATTGCATACAGTGCAGTGATAAACATAGGGGTGCATATATCTTTTCAAATCAGGGATTTTGTATTCTTTGAGTAAACTCCTAGTAGTGGAATGACTGGATCAAATGCTACTTCTACTTTTAGCTATTTGAGGAACCTCCATACTGTTTTCCACAGCTGTTGCACCAATTTGGAGTCCCACCAACAGCGTAGGAGGGCTCCTATTTCTCCAGATCCTCACCAGCATTTGTTGTTTCCTGTCTTTTGGATGTTGGCCATCCTAACTGGTGTGATGTGATATCTCATTATGGTTTTAATTTGCATTTCTCTGAAGATTAGTGATGTGGAGCATCTTTTCATGTGCCTGTTAGCCATTTGTATTTCTTCTTTGGAGAAATGTCTGTTCAGGTCCTCCACCTATTTTTGATCAGGATTTTTGTTTTTTGGGTGTTGAGGCATATGAGTTCTTTATATATTTTGGATGTTAATCTTTTATCAACAAGTCATTTCCTAATATATTCTCCCATACTGTAGGACGACTTTTTGTTCTGCTGATGGTATCCTTTGCTGTACAGAAGCTTTTTAGTTTGATGTAGTCCCACTTGCTCATTTTTTATTTTGTTTCCCTTGCCTGAGGAGATGTGTTCAGGAAAAAGTTGCTCATGTTTATATTCAAGAGATTTTTGCCTGTGTTTTCTTCTGTGAGTTTTATGGTTTTATGACTTACATTCAGGTCTTTGATCCATTTTAAGTTTATTTTTTGTATGAAGTTAGACAATAATCCAGTTTCATTCTCTTGCATGTAGCTGTCCTGTTTTGCCAACACCAGTTGTTGAAAAGGCTATCTTTGCCCAATTGCATATTCATGGCTCCTTTAACATATATTAATTGACCATACATGCTTAGGTTTATATCTGGGCTCTCTTTTCTCTTCCATTGGTCTAAGGGTCTGTTCTTGTGCCAGTACCAAATTGTTTGATTACTGTAGCTTTGTAGTAAAGCTTGAAGTCAGGGAGTGTAATCCCCTCAACTTTGTTCTTCTTTCTCAGGATGGCTTTGGCTATTCAGGGTCTTTTCTGGTTTCATGTGAATTTTAGAACTATTTTTTCTAGTCCAATGAAGAATAATAGTGCTGGTAATTTGATAGGGATTGCAGTGAGTCTGTAAATTGCTT